TACAGAATTGTGCAACTAATGTCACTCTGATAGTCACATCTTAAGTCGCAAAGTTAATATCAACACAGCCTTAAATTAGTCGCCATTTCCAACTGACACCAAGGCGTATTCTATGTTTTCTTGTAGTGGCTCGATCTGACACCAACATTCTCTATTTAAGAGAGTAGCAACTCACAACAGATGATGAAAGAAAAAACATTCGAGTAAGCTTTGTTGGATCACTTCAATGGTAGATTTATATTGGTCAACCACAGTGGCAGCTTCAAGGTTTATCTTTTATTTTTCAGGCAATATAAAAAGATAAGGATAAACATTGAATTGCGATTGGACCACCAAACTAAATATTCTTATATTTCTCCTCTTTGTTTTATAAATCCTTTCCGTAGTGAAATTTGTGTTTTTCCATTTTTTTACGATAAAATTAAACAATATCAAGGGGTGTTGTAAAAAGTTCATACCTTTACAACATTCTTTTCGAAGCTTATCATAGTTATGCAGTTACGCTATCTCATTAATCCTAAAAGAGTAAAAGGTAAGGGCATTGCTGCAGATTCATCTTCTCAACCAAGTACTTTCTTGCTTTGTCGATTCAACTTTAATATTTTCACCTTCTATTGAAATTGTTATGGTTCTAGGAAATTCTCGAGGCCGGCAATGACCGAAAGGTGTTGTTTGGAAAAGAAAAGGGGCCAAAACCCCTGAGAGTCAGAAAGCTAAGCAAGCTCAGGAGCTCTTAAACTATGTCGAAGAAATCGCAAGGAAGAATGGAAAATCATACATGGGTGATTTATCTCAAGAGTTAAGGATGAAGTATCCGACTTTTTTCAACACACAAACGCTCTTTTTGAAGTCTTTTGATTGCGTATCGATTATTCCATCTTTCTCTCAGGGATGCGAGATAATTTTTCCAGGAAAAGCAGAGTAATATCCTTGGAATAAGAGCTGGTTCACGAAAGAAGGGATGTTTTAAATGATGAGAAAGATTGAGAAGTCCCATGAGCAGCAGTAGCTTAGTCAAATGATGGAGGGTAATGTGTTTTGGAGTTCTTGGTTACTTGTTTGATTGAGAGTCATGTATCTCATAGAATGAAATTAATTAGTGTCTAGTCAGCTGATTTGTAAATGATTTGTTTTATTAAAATGCCTTTTGAGTTCCTTGCTTAGGTGGAGACCAAGCTGAGAGAGGCACTAAATGAGAGAATCAGCAGAACGATGAGCAAGCATCGAAACTTGAATTTTAGAAAAGAGAAAACGAAGTTGAGAGACGTTCAAGTGATTACATTAAGAAGCTGAGGAAGTAAATGGAGCAGGCCAAGAAAATGACAAAGACCTCGAAGAAAAAAAAGACAGGAAAGTGTGTCATTCTGTAATTTATGTTGTGATCAAAAGACATAAAAATCCCATCACTTTATACACATTCATATGTGTATTTCTATATATTCTTTCCTCTTTATACCTTTTGACACCCATGCCCAAAAAAAGAAGTTAGTCTCTGTCTTTTCATTTGTATTTTATTTTTTAACCTTTGAAGTTCAGATGAGTAAGAGAGATCACATTGTATTTCTGTTAAGATCATATGAGTGTATATATAAATCCAATTCATTGTGTAAAAAAAATATGGAAAAAGAAAGTGAATTTGTCTTGCTTAGTCCTATTATAATAGTATAGTACTAGTTTAAGAGAAGAAAAGCTTCTCTTTAAGTCAAAGAAAACATAGTATGCACGTTCGCTTGTCTCTTACGTTTTGAAATAGGTTGAGAAGAAGAAACCATATTACGAGCAGTTCAGGAAGCAGCAACTCACAGAAGATGATGAAAGCCCAAAAACTCAGATTTCTGTTAATTGTTTTTTGGAACACTTCAATGGTAGTTGTCGACTCGGAAAAAGGACAAAGAACGAAGGTTTTTTTCTAAAAGCTTTGAAGCTCGATGAAACTTAGATCTCAAGAAAAAAGGTTTGCTTGAAAAGCTTTAATGAATTCATAAAAGTCTATCGAACCTTTAAAAATTTGGTCGACTATATAGTAAAATAAAGAAGCCATAATTTTTTTTTTTGGTCTCAAAAAGAAGCCATAATGTTAATCATAATAAACTCAAATACTGTATCTAATAAAGAAAAATTCTAATAACCGAAATCAAATAGATAAATGAGGTAGAGAAACAAAGATGCGCTGAGATTCTTATTGGTCAATTATGGTGACAGTTTCAAAATTCTTTTTACAACATCCTTACTTGTTGTTTATTCCATTTGTTATTTTTAAATCCCTTTTCGTAGCTTGACCAAAACACAAAAAAAAAAAAAACATTTTCGTAGTTCAATTTGTGTTTTGTTTTTACTATAAAACAATATCAATGTGTACTGTAAAACTATAGACCTAAATGATTCTAACTGGATGTATCTCCTAGTTTCTATTGCAATAGAACAATGATGAGATTATAATATAAAGAATTCGAAATCCAGATGACCAGTGTTACAAAAAGACTGAATTAAAGCTAAGACAAAATATGATTGGCTTGTAACTTTAACGACAAGTAAAACAAGCTAAAGACAATTTAAATTCAAATTAAAACAAGCACTAGACCAAGGTAATTCGCAGGAGTTTCAGAGATGAGAATCAGATAACTATTCATGGCACAATTTAAATGCAGATCTCGAACTCAAACATAAACGTATAATGATCCACTGTCATGGTACCGATAACTTTTTCTAACAACCTAAATTCTAAACTGTCGTTTGAACCTAGAAAATTGCAGATTTAACAAGCAGGTTTGATCTGTTCACGATTTGCCTTAACTTCAACTGTCGTTGGCTAAGAACAAATCGCTCACCAAAGTTTATTCTAGCAACCTATTACACTTTTGATGAATAGATTAACCTAAGATCATAAATTGAGTGATCAGTTCAACCTAAGCATTAAATTCAACAGATGTGAAGAAAATCGATTTTAAGCCCTATTTGCATCCAATTCTCTAACTCATGAAATCCTTTAAAAACCTTAATCTAGCTAAGAGACTACTCAGACATGGAGAAAAGAAACACAGCAACAGATGAAAAGGAATTCATGAAATAAATAGCAGAAGTAATAATAGGGTTCAGAATTCTTCTCAAAGTGTAGCAGATTTCTTCTCCCAAAAACTCACAAGTAAAAACTCTCTGGTTCCGAATATTGTAAAAAAAAAAACGTAGAGAAAAGATAGGCGGCTCTGGACTCTTTTATTTGTTTCACGCGACTTTGAATTATGTAAAGTTGTTTTCCATATTTTTCTCCAGGTCGGAGCAGGTGCTCCACAGAAGGTCGAAATCGGGAGCAGATGCTCCGCGGAAGGCTTCTCCAATTATGTATGAAATTTGCTCCTTTTTGCTCAGCTTCATCTCTTTTTGCTCCAAAGCCTTTCATACCATCCAATCTTCAGCTAAAGCCTCCTAATCATATGAAACAACCTGAAAAAGACTCTAAAAGACTCCTAAAAAGATTAGTAAACACAGGTTAGAATGAGTCAAAATCACCACTTATCACTAAACAGCATGCTTTCGAATCAACAAATTTAGACGCTTATCATACTTCCACTTCTCTCATTTATTCTCTAGGGTTTAATAGATTGCTACCTAAAAATTCTTCGCATTGCTACAGATTCCTCTTCTCAAGCAAAGTAACCATCTTGTTGCTTTAGACTGTATTGCTTTGTCGATTCAGCTTTAGGAAACATATATAGCTTACTTTTATTAAGATTATTTTACCCTGATTACTCTATATCATCATCGATCTCAATTTTTTCAAGGTTAAAAAATGTCCTAGGCTTGTATAATATATATATATATATATATATTGTTTTTTAAATTACTGGTACTGGTTGCTTGATGACTTAGCTAGGTTTTTAGGTCTAAAATTTCTCATTGTTTGGGTTAATGTTTCAATCTCAGAGATTCAAATATCTGGTCCACCGTTTGTGTGAAGATGGGCATTGAAATGATGTACAGATTATTGCAAATTCGGTTCATCGTCAAACCCTACAAAGACCTTAGTTCTGGTCGGTAGTTCTAGAAACAGAAAGAGTGCAACAATATGCTTGGAAGAAAGGCGTTTTCCTCAAAAGCAAGTTCACTCGGAGTGACCAGAACATGCAAGATGATGGCCAAATCATCAATGTCATTGATACTTCCGGTGAGTGCTTCCAAATTTTATGCTTTGCAGCATGAATTGAGTTCTTTTTCTTTTCTTTTTTTACTTCGTCCACGGCCAATTGTGTTACGGCTCTCTGTAGTTATCATGGGGAGAGGCAGATCATTGATAAAGTTAATGTATGGATACGTGTTGTTCAATTTAGCCAAATACAATTTAGCAAAGACAGGTTGACTACAATATATAGTTGTTATGACTTCAATCTGGTAAACTTTTACAGGTCTGCTAGTTAAAACCGGTTTTATTGATAAAGAAATTGTGAGGTGCATAACTGTAGAAAACGAACAGCTGTTCAAGATTATTTGGCTCAAGGGCGTCTTTGTCTAGAATTCATGAGAGTCAGTATTTTGTTTTACCGTTCTTGAGATATATAACTGATGAAAATTGCATATATATTCTTATATATAAATCTGATTTGGAATTGAAATGTATGTTTGCTGGAAATTCTTTTGCTATGTCATAACCGATTGGTCTTGTTTAAGGATAAGCTCAAGAAAGTTGATAAGATAATTAATAAGTTATAGTATCTGGTTTAATTTATGAACATTAAGTTTGATGAACTTTGACTTTGAACAGGAATAATATCCTATGTTCATGTTTGGTCAGATATTCATTGGATTTGACTAAACAGTATCAATCATTTGGTAAGGAAAAAATCCTAACATCTATTCTATGGTCAAAAATAACCTAATTTCTAAATTTGGATTCAATTATAAATAGGAGGGAACAGTTCTAATTTTTTAAGTTGCTCAGTTTACCTTCGCAACAAAAAAAAAAAAAGATAAAAAGTTGTAGGGTTCCCTAAATTCAATTGTGTACGATGAGGATAAAGCAGCCTTTCCCGGAAAGGTTCATCCCTCACGATGACACGGCGGTGCGTTGCATGACTTGTCCAAGGTACATCCCTCACAATGCTGGTATCTGCAAGAAGTGCTGGGATGTGAAAACTGAGGCTGAGAGAGAGCTCTTGGAGGAGCTCAACGTCCTCAAAGCCAAATCTGATTTCCTTCACTTATCTTCTATCAATCATGAAAACAACTCCAAATCCTTCACTGATGTTGTTCTCATTGCATCTGATGCTGAGGCCGTCACTCCTCCCATTCACGCTCATAAAATCGTTCTGGTATGTTCACTGTTTTTTTTTATTTCTTTCATCAGATGTCAACTATTGTTTGGCAATTAGTTTTCTATGATGAGTTATTTAAACTTTAATTGTTATTTTTTATTTATAATATTCAGTATAAGTGTATGTGTTTGCATACGCATGCGAAGGGTTTTGGATGTCATAGGAAAAACAAACGTTTTCTAATTTTATAACATAAATTTGGAAAATAATTAAAAATTTCATATAAATTCTTGAAAAAATATAATAAAAACTGATTATACGAAAGCCATCCCGACGGTGGAGCAATAACTTGAGGTTAAATTTTTTTTTTTATAAAACAATTTTGGATAAAAATTACGAAAAATTATAAAAAATTATTGACAAGAAATATATAGAAGTTTTGATAAATATTTTTGTGATTAATAAACAAAATTTTACACAAAGTTGTAGTTGAGAAAAAGCTATTATTCTTTTTATATAAGAGAAATGTATAAAAGAAGAAGCACCATCATGGGAAAAGAAAAATTACATTAATGTGAATTTGAGGAGAGAATTACATTAATGTGAATGATATTTTCTCGTTAAATATCTTCTTTCTTCCACATTTCATCTCAGTCTTTTTGATCAGTTTTACGCCTTTTTGTTGGAGTTCAATTCCCATCTTTACTCCAAAAACATGATGTCAAATTGGAGTCTTTCCTTGTGTATTCCGTTTAGGGTTTAAGTGTCTGTTTCATTTATCTGTATTATTGATAATGAGAGCTGCGGGGGTTTTGTTGTGGAGTGCACATTCTTCCACTATAAATCTGTTTTAATTTCGAGATGCTATTTTTTTTTTTTAAAAAGCAATGTACTATTGCTGCCAGGTGAGCCGTTCACCAGTTTTCAAAGCAATGCTTGAGAATGAGATGGAAGAAAGTCATCGCAGCATTATCAAGATCAATGAAGTATCCTATGAAGTTCTTCAAAATTTTGTAAACTATCTCTACACCGCTGAAGCAATCGTTGATGAGCAAATGGCATGTGATCTTTTGATCATGTCAGAGAAATACCAAGTGGCATATCTCAAGAGACAATGTGAGAAGTTTTTGGCAAGCAAACTGAGCCTAGAGAAATATCTAAAGTTCTACGTCCTTGCCCACCAGCACAATGCAAAACATTTGCTTGATGCTGCGTTGACAAAGATCATAACTAATATGGATATGGTAACCAAAAGAGAAGAATACAAGGAGCTCGTGAAAAGTGATCCCCATCTTGTCCTGAATATCCATGAAACATATTTTTCATTATATGTTGCGGAAACTAGCACAAGATCAACTGTTTGAGAAATGTCTATTTCGTCATCTTAAAAAAACAATTCTAAATAAGTTGTGATTTCTTGTTCTCTAAATTTCTCCTTTTATGTCAGGCTTAGCAGAACACCTTTTTTTGAAGCACTAAAAATATGTTTACTTTGTAAATAGTAAAATTTATTGAAAAGAGCATGCTTCATTTTATTTATTTTCCTTCGTATTATTAGGGGACTGTTTTTATCTTTGCGTCTTAGCTTAAATAGAAAGTAGGTTGGATAACTAAATGAAAAATCCATAATTGAGAAAGAAAAACTGTGGTGACATTTCATAAATCTATACTATTAAAACCTGCATCCAAATACTATTTATTTCTATTTCAAAACTATTTAGTATTAATCCATTTTGATGTAATATTTAACTTAAAATTGCATTTTTTACAGTTAAATATAATTCCAAATATACCGATATTAATTCAATTATTTTTAACTTTTCTTAAATATAGGTTAGTTATTTAGATGAAACCACAACAGTCATTTGTTATTAATATTTACAAAAAAAACTGGATATTAATTTAGATTCAATTTCAAATAATCAAAATTAATAGATATTTTACTATACAATAATATGATAGAATGGGTTATGCTTATATTTTTATTATTGTGTTTTCATGCATGTTAGTTTATCAGTAACATTCAAGATAATTAGCTGATTTGAGGCAATCAAAAGAAAGATTTAACTTATTTTAAACATGCATAGATATATAGATTGATTGTACAAGATTTACTATAAATATTACGTCAGTCTGTACTTAACTTACATACTCTTATTCTACTAAATATAAATCTAAACTATTAAAACAATAACAAAAAATTTGATTTTAGAAAAGATAAATCTACAGAAATAATTATATCTAAACACAAAAAATAAATACAAATAACATTACAAAATTTGATTTTTAAAAAATTCACGTGTAGATACACGGATTTAAAATCTAGTAATTTTTTTTTGTCATCTAAAATCTAGTAATTAAGTAAAGCATTATCCACACAGATTTAAAATCTATTAATTAAGTAAAGCATTAAAAAGAAAAAGAAAAATATGAGGGAGAAGAAATGAAATGTCTACACAAACCCGTTTGAACAAAATAAGGTAACTAGATTTATGACTTATGACAAATAGAAATAAAATAGAAGATGTCCTCAACATCGAAGATTCGAATCGGCAACTAATCGATAAAGGATCCTAAAGTTCTCCATTCCCTAATTTTTTACCGGTATGTTTAAGATCGTCTAATGAGGGCTACATGCCCATTTGTCCTCCTTTAAATAAAATACTGATGAGGTATGTTGATTTGGTCAGTCTTTTCGCTGTTGACAACAAAACTCAGTTTTATAAAATATCATTAAAGCCTATTTTCTCTCGAACAGATATCTCAATCTCTCATAGTCCTTTTTGTTTGATCCATAAAATGTTTTTTAAACCCTTGCCGAAACTTTAAAGTTTGTTCACGAGTACCTATTGTTGGCACACAATGCCTCTCATGTATAATAAAAACTAGATTATTTTTGTTTATATAATATAATTTTTTATTTGTTTTTGTTTATATATAATATTCAAATAAGTGATGAAAATTTTTTTTTGTTTAAATGTAATTTATTTCTATTGATTTATTTTTTAGTATTACATATAACCGCGATTAGAAAACATTATTCTAACTCGTCTGTTCATATTAATCTTAAAAGTACCACAATTAAAAAACGTTATTACAACATCCTCATTTATGTTAATCTAAAAAGAATAGAGATTATGAAAACATTTAATATGTCTGTTCAAATTTAAAATTTAGATTTATTTAATAAAAATATACAATAATATATGATTTTCATCTCTGTTATTGAAAATATTATTTAAATTTGAATATTCAAATTAAATCTAAATTAATATCTAGGTTATTATTTTTGTAAAGATATAATAATATTTTTTTATAATTTTTGATAATGTAACCTACATTTAAAAAAATCTATAACAAATCTAAATTAAAAACTAAATTTTTGGATTTATATTATTTTATTAAAATTACACTAAATTAATTTATTTGGTACATTTAAATTAAAATCAATATTTTTTTTGCAACAAAAATAACAGTTATCCAAAAACAGAATAATAGAAAACCAAATAAAAATTCTGTTTGGACACAAAACACCATTCTCTTTTAATAGTATAGATGGAATATCCTGCACAACAACAAATGATTTCCCTAGTCTATGGAATACCTTGCAACAACAAATGTTTTCCCTAGAGTCTATGTGCAATGACCCATTTTATGAATCATTACATAAGACTGATCATCATTATTGTATTGAAAGTTCTCGGATAGAGCAAATTGGTTCTCGAATAAAGAGGCCACATGATTGCAAATGTGTGTGAAAGATGATCAAGTCGAAAGAATAGAGAAAAAAAAAATTTCTAAATGTTCGGAAGAATGAGACTCTCCATAGCTTAGTTTAACTGTGGACGATAGATTAGTTTCACCGAACTAGATATGTCTCAAATGATGAATGATATGAAGAAGTTTCATGAAAAATCAGCTGCTTAAAGAAATGGTGGATAGGGTAATGTTTTTTTGGAGTTCTCCATTGATTGATTCATCTATCTTTTAACATGAGTTTAAATAGTATACCTCTTCAGCTTTTTTTATGACAGTTCTTAAAAAGCTGGTTTTTGAAGGCATCAAACCCATTATCTTCATTGATTCCTTTTGAACATGCCTCTAAATTCTTTGCTTAGGTGGAGATCAAGCTGAAAGAGAAATTAAAGAAGCTAGAGAAGCTAACAGCTGAAGGAAGAGCAAGCTGCAAGACTTGATTGGAGAAAGCAAACGAAATTGATAAACATTCAAGTGACGTAGCTTAGAAGCTAAATGAAGAGCAAGCTGCAAGACTTGAATCGGAGAAAAAAGCACACGAAGTCGAGAAACATTGAAGTGATTTAGTTAAGACGCTGAGGGAGGATCTGAAGAGGGCGGCATGTAAACTCCAAGAAAATGCCAGACAGGGCAAGATTCTGTGATAGATACTCATGCATGTCTGTATCCGTTTCATCTTTGATGATAGACCAAATTGGGTGATGTTTTTTCCTCCTTATGATGTCTCCTTCTAGTGACTTTTATCTTAAAAAAATTTAGACTTTACTCATTAGTTTTTCTTTTAATTAGCTTTATTCACAGATTGGTTCTTGAGAAAAATGTTAGATCTCGTTTTACTTTCTTTTTCAGCTGGAATTATATTCGTTTGTACATAAAACTAATTAGGTGGACTACGAGTAGCGTCGGATGATTTCACATTTGATCCAGGTATGTATTTGCTTCTTTAAAATTTTGCATCTCTTTTATAATCTCACTCATAAACGTAAGCAATACGAAAATAAAGTGAATTTACGTCCTGAAGATACTAGTTAGTGTTGTAGAATGTAGAGCTAGATCCAGATATTCTTCTCTTAATTTCAGAGAAACAAAGATGGACATTTCTTGACAGATTTTACGTATTCTGAAACAGAGATATGGATTGCTTCAAAGGTGTTTTGGAAAATGCTTGTGATTCTGGTTTACTGTAGAAAGCTGTGAGAACCCTAGTGATACTGGAAATAGCGTCCAGACGTGCATTAGGGGTAACTACAGTCTATGAACTACAGAGTTTGACGCTACCAAATTGCCATATCCTCAATGTTATTGATACTCCTGGTGTGTGTGATACTTAAAACTACAAGCAAAAGGGTCATTTATAATATTTTTACAATATTAAACCTTATTTATATGTGCTTCAGGGCTATTTAGTCTGTCTCCATCAACAGAGTTTACCTGTAGAGAGATTTTGAAGTGCGTGCGTCTGTCAAGAGAAGGGATTGACGGTTCGTGTGGTATTCTCCTTGAGAAACCGGCTAACAGAAGAAAAGATATCTTCGCTTTTTGCGTTAAAGATCCCTTTTGGAAGCGAAATTTTAGACTACATGATTGTTGTCTTCACAAATGAAGATGCACTTGAGGATGATGGTGATACTGATACATTGGAGGAATATTTGAAAGACTGCCCTGGTTTCAATGTTTGTTTTTTTTTCTTGATTTTGGTGTTGATTTTCACATTCTTATTGAAATGTTTTACGGTTCCAGGAAATTCTCGAGTTATGCAATGCCCGAAAGGTGTTTTTTGGAAATAAGGCGAAAGCCCCTGAGAGTCAGAAAGCTAGGCAAGCTCAGGAGCTACTATGTTGAAGAAATTCAAGGAAGAATGGAAAACCGTACATGGGTAAAGTTTTTTTTAAATACACATGCACTCTTTTCTGATGCTGTTTGATTGCTTATCGAGTATTCCATCTTCGTCTCAGGAAAGCGAGACTATTTTCCATGAAAGGCATAGTGTTATCGTTGGAAATAAGAGCGGGTTCACGAAAGAAGAGATGTTTCTAATGATGAAAAAGTTGGAGAAGTCTCATGAGCAGCGGCCCACTTAGTCAAATGATGAAGATGGTAATGTGTTTTGGAGTTCCTTGGTCACTTGTTTGATTGAGAGTCATGTATCTCATAAAATGAAATAAATTAGTATCCTGCTCAGCTGATTTGTGACGGAATTATTTTGTTAACATCCTTTTAAGTTATTTGCTTAGGGGAAGATTAAGCTTCTTTTCACTACAAAATTTTAGACCTAAACAGCATGCTTTCAAATCAACCAATTTAGAAGCTTATCATACTTACTCTCTTTCGTTTATCCTCTAGGGTTTAATTAATAGATTGTTACCTAAAAATCTTCGCATCGCTGCAGATTCCTCTTCTCAAGCAAAGTAATCATCTTGTTGTTTTAGACTGTATTGCTTTGTCGATTCAGATTTAGGAAATATATATAGCTCACTTGTTTCAAGACTTCAAGTTACAATTATGATCGGCCTTCTTTTATTAAAATTCTCTTACTCGGATTACTTTAGATCATTATTACAATTTATCAAGGTTAATAATTCACCTGGAGTTGTATAAGAACTGTTTTTAAGAAACTTTAGGTTGCTTGTTGACTTAGGTTTTATGAAGGTCTTTTTTTATATGTTAACTGATCTTTTTTGTTCCTTACTCATGAAGATGGATGGACAGACAGATGAATGCGAATTCGGTTCATCTTCAAACCTTACAAAAACCCTAGTTCTGGTCGGTAGTTCTGGAAATATAAATAGTACTACAGGGAATTGGAGGAAAGGTTTTAGTTTACCTCAAAAGTAAGTTAACCAGAACATGGCAGTCACAAAGAGTTGTACAAGATGATATGACCAAATCATAAATATGATTGATACTGTGAAGATTGTGTGAACTTGATGAGCAAGTCTTCTAGAACTAACTCAAGTTAATGATGTTGGGTTGAGTTTAGTTTTGGGACCACAAAGAAGGAGCCTTTTCTTTTTGTCTTCTTGTGAATTCAAAAGCCAAGGAATTTGCACTAGGGTTTAAGATTGTCTCTACTATATAAGCTTATAGAAAGAAAGGAGAGAGTGGAGAGCAAAGATGTAGACACACAATATGGCTAGAGGGGTGAGAGAAAACATGTAAAAGCATAAGCTTGGGCTGGGTTTTCTCTTGCATTACACATAATGAGTTCTTGAGTGGGAATCACTTGTAAATGTGTTCTCCTTCTAGTGGATTCCGAGCAATAGTCTCGGCGAGATGTAGGTGGTATCGGTTTGACCCACTGAACTCGTTAAATGTTGTGTGTGCTCCCCTTTATTTTTCTGCTCTGTTACTTTCTCTTCTTCATAGCTTTCTTTCTCTGTTTTACTTGTGGCTGGTGTTTCATGTCTGAGATAGATTAAAGCTTGAACCTTTGTGAGGTTAAATCCTAACAAACTGGTAGCAGAGCCCAGGTTTGGCGAAGAAAAGTGCAAGCTTTACAAGAAAGTCACAAGCTTTGTCAAGAAAGTCAACAGCTTTATCAAGCAATGGCTTCGGGAAGTGCAGTTCTAGATAAGTTGATGGATCTGGAGATGTCTCAGTGAAGACAGGTGTATCTTGGTCATCTAAAGGTTTAGATCTGCTGGAAGCATTGAGAGAAGAAGATAAAGACAGGGAAGGAGTAAAGGTTTCTCCTTGGTTTGGAGAAGAAGCTCGTCCCGAGCTCTAGCATTTGTTCAGAGAACTCGACGACAAGAGATTCTCGCCAGTAAAGGCAGAATCTGATGGAGTGGGCTGGATGTTCTGTTTGACATCGAGAAGAGCAGAACGAGTCCAAGTTAAAAGGGTTAAAGATCTTGAAGTAAATCAAATCAGAAGAGAGCAAGGTTGGTTTCAGAAGTTCATGAAATCAGAGGCTCGAGTGGAGGTGGTTCTCTTTGACGGCGAAGTAATCACCAGAAATCACAGAGGTGGTGGTGCTTCAAGTCATCGAAGGAACTACTGGGAAGAAGCTTAGAGTATTAGAGCTTCAGTGCCGGTACGAGATCGCAAAAGGGTTGGTGACAGAGGAATCACCGGAAGGAACAGAAGATGGTGGTCGGAGATCCTCACCGGGAGGCGCAGAGAGACGGCGTCGGGGAAGAAAGATTTGTCGTCGGGAAAGGAAGGAGGAGATAGAAGAAGACTAGGCCTGAATTTTACAATGTAATGGGCCTTAGTTATTAATATCTTATGGGTTTTATTTTTCGGCCTGATTATCTAAATCAGAAATTGGGCTGGAAAGAAAAATAGAGCCCATGATGAGAGAAACAAAGAAAAAGGTACTCCCGCTTGTTTTCCCGGAGGAATAGCGACGAATTGATCACCAGAAAAAGGTTCGTTCCATGTGAACAGTAAAAGTTTTCTTAGCTTCGTGGCTGAAGCAAAGACTCTTCCAAGTCAACAGCTATGGACTCGGGTTTCTCCAGTGGAATCGAACTGAGACGAGAGTTCATTAGTAAGAACAAGTAGAGAAGAGCTTGTGAAACGCAGCAATGAGAAGCTCATGAATTTATTCAAGGTGGAGGTTCTGCGGTACAAGTTTGGTTCAGGTTCCAGAAGGTAAAAGTTAAGCAGTTTATGACTAAAGCCTATGATAGAACCAAAGTATCATTCAACAAGCTCTGCAAGCAAGATGAAAGCTTCATCGTGTGAAGAGTGGATTCAGATCCTGGTAATGTGTGAGTCGGAGTTCTTAGACTCAAATCATTGGATGAGAATCATTCTTCTTTCTCAAGACTCAAATTTGTTGGAGACTTTAAGTCTTATTCCGCTGCTGCACAAGGTATTTTGTGTGTTACTCTGAGCTGAAGTTTGTGGTCTTATCAAAGTTCTGCATATTCAAAGGATTTGAAAGCTGGATGGAACACAAGGTTATGTACTGACTTTACAAGGGACTGGCCAAGATTCAGTGTTGGGTTTTCATGCTATATTTTGGGTTTGAATCAGTTTGGTGAAGTCTGCTTCAGTGGGTGCTCAGTTGATGTTGGAATAACAGCCTCGGAAACTCATAAAGTTCATGGGATTAAGGGACGCCTTATAAGCTTGAATTTTATGGGTATTGGGTTGTTAGATATCAGTAAAGAGTTTTCTGGATATTCAAAGTTAAAGAGAAGATGCAAAATGGGTATGAAGCAAAGATCAGGTCATTTATTGGGTTAAAGACAAGACTTCAGTGGTTGGTTGAGTTTTTTGGAGAGGTTTTGCTGCAGGGTTCTGTCTCAGTATTCAGAGGTTTGTTTTTTATAAATCTAAGAGTCTACAGTCGGTGGATCATCAGTGATCGCAACTACAAAGTTATTTCAGAGGAGATGAAATAAGGTTGCTGGGTCTGTAGCAATTGTTGATGCAGTTTTGTAATGGAACATAACAGAAGATGTTTGTTGAGACAACAGATGAAACACACTTACGGTGTAAGCTTAGGTGTGAGCTGGAGAGTGTCCAAGTTCTTGTTTTTTCAAGGGTATAAACTCTTGGAAAGATTGCAGTAGCACAGGTTTACGGTTGTGCAGTGTTGTGTTTAACACATGGAGTTTCTGCTGGAGTAAATCTAAGAGAACAAGGAGTTCTTGTCTCAGGTGGAGCACTGTTTTGCAGGAAATTGTTGGGGTCAGTTTTCACCCCAAGTAGATAAACCACCTCAGAATGGCTAAGTATGGAAGAAAGATAAGTGGGAGAGCCGTGGTCGCCAAGTGGGAGAGCCGTGCTGGCCAAGTGGGAGAGCCGTTCTCACCATGACAAGTGGAGAGCCGTTCTCACCATGACAAATGGAGAGCCGTACTCACCATGACAAGTGGAGAGCCGTTCTCACCATGACAAGTGGAGAGCCGTTCTCACCAAGACGAATGGGGGAGCCATGCAGATAGGCCAGTGGGGAGAGCCGTGAAAGAAGACAGGTGAACCGAGCCGCATCGAAAGAAATGGGCTGACCCCCACTTCAACACGTTTGGGCCGAACCGTGTATCGGTGCGGTGGGCTAGATCATGTCTCCATGGCAAGTGGGCCGAGCCGTGAAGGAGGCTAGATGGGCCGAGCCGTGAAGGAGGCTAGATGGGCCGAGCCGTAAAGAAGCATGGATGGGCTGAACCGAAGCCTTGAGAGGTGAAGCCCATGGAAAACCCTAGGCGAGATGCAAAGGCGGTCAGCCGCACGAGGCGATAAGGAAATATTCCGAAAATCTCGCCCGAGATTTTTGGCTAGGCGGTTTAGAAAGGTAATATAAATATATGATGTATGCAATTCTTCCACCAACTCTGGCAACCTTAAGCAACAAAGACTAAACACTTACAGCAATAAAATCCTCTTTTGGTCTTACTGTTCTTTCGATTATCCTAGAAGTTTCAGATCCCTTAGTTTCTCTTCACAAATTCTTGGTGCGAGTTTTGGCTCACACAATTTGGCGCCGTCTGTGGGGAATCAAAACTTTCTTACTCTAAATCGACGAGTCTTTAAGATCCGAAAAACATGGCGAGCAACACCCCCGACGACACCGGTAACGGCGCGGAGAAGGACGCTCCAGCATCAGGCACAATGACGGCAACGACCGAAACCCACGAGGAGATGCGATACATGATAGCTGCGTTGATGAAAAAAATTGATGACCAAAACAAAAGAAACGAGGCGATTACGGCGAGGCTCGACGCGATGGCAGCTGAGCGACAACACTCGACTTGGAGAGCCGGAATTCTCGACCCGATGGACGGAATTCGGAGACGCTTCGATTTCTCGACACCCGCAGAAGCCTCGGGGAGTGGCGCAAGAAATTCCTAGTTTCTTCGTCCCCTTGACGAACGTACTCCCGCAGCAACCCGAATCAACATGACCGAGCCGCCTCCACTACGGCGGAACTCCAGGCAACGAGCCGGTAAGGAAGGGGGTGATGCGATCGACGTAGACGCCCAGCAGAACGACGAGACCATGAATCCGCAACAAACTGGTTCGGCTCGCCGAATTAGTCAGGAAGAACTCGCCTCGGCACTGAACGGCATCCGGACTGACGAAGTCTCCGATCCAACCCGCGGCGATAACCCAACCGAGATGGAAGAAAATCTCCAATGGATCGAGCAGGCAGAACGCGAAGACGAGCCGAGGCGAGAGGAGCGGGAGCGACCCCCCCCCAATCAAAGGGAATGACTCACGCACAAACTCTCGAGCTCAAAGAGCTGCGAGCCTCTATGGCTCGGACAGTGGCTGAAATACGTGCCATGAAATCTCAAGTGCACAATGCGACAAGTGTCGCGCCCGAAATCGACCGAATGCTTGAAGAAACTCAGAGAACCCCGTTCACTGCAAGAATCACGGAGGCCAGGATTCTCGAGCCGGGGAATGTGAGAATCCTGTTCTACGAAGGAACAACCGACCCGAAAGCACACATCACCGCGTTTCGAATAGCGATGGGACGAGCCTTCACAAAGAACGCCGCTAAACTCACCGAACGCGAAGTAGATGCCGGATACTGCCTGCTCTTCGTGGAGCATCTCAAGGGAGCCGCACTCGAATGGTTTTCGAGGCAGGAGCGCAATTCTATTGGCAGTTTTCAACAGCTCTCCGCTTTGTTCCTTAAACAATACTCGATGTTTATGGACAGAGGAACATCTGATGCCGACCTGTGGACACTATCCCAAGGACCGAACGAACCGCTTCGGGATTATATGGCACGATTCCTGGCAGTCGTATCCAAAATAGAAGGGATAAGCGACAAGGCTGTGCTCGAGGCTCTGAAACGATCTTTGTGGTACAAATCCGAGTTCCGCCGGGAGATGGCTCTCAATACGCCGCAAACAATTCAAGACGCGTTGCACCGATCATCAGACTTCGTCGTAAACGAGGAGGAAATGAAAAACTTGGACGAGCAGTACGAAGCCACGAAAGCAGCGATCCGAAGCTCAATTTTGCCGCGCCCCGCGAAGAAGGTCAATCCATCGAGCAATGCAACAAGGCAGAGTTCGGATGAACCTAGGAGCGGAGGTGCCCATAACTATCAGGTCAGCTCCGGACGCGGAAGAGGAGAGCCGCGCAACAACACTTGGGTGAGAAAGTGTGCCAACTACGACGAGAAGGCTTTCTGCGAGTATCACCAGACCTATGGACACTCAACGGCTCAATGCCGAACTCTAGGAGCAAAGCTCGCAGCAAAAATGGCAGCAGGAGAGCTCCAAAACGCGGTCAGCCTCAAAGACCTCGTTCCTAACGAACAACAAGAAAAAGCCGAGCCGAGCGGCGCGGCGGAACCAGCGAATCCTCCCCGACGAGGCGATAATCCCAAGCGTGACAGGAGAGGCGAACCTGAAGAGCGACCCGAGCCGAGGCAAAGGATCAATATGATCATGGGTGGATCTCAATACTACCAAGATACCGTGTCCTCCATCAAAGCCTATCAGCGTCGAGCCGAAGCAAAGGAGAATTGGACAGAGCCAACCGACATCCCAAACACAGTGATCTCTTTCGCCGAGGAGGAAACGGCAGGAATCGATCGACCTCACAACGATCCGTTGGTGATTGAGCTAACGATCAGGGATCATGATGTAGCAAGGGTGCTCATCGATATTGGAAGCTCGGTGAATGTCATCTTCAGAGAAACACTCAGAAGAATGGGAATCGACCTCTCCGAGGTGGAAGCAATCCCCAAACCTCTAACCGGATTTTCAAGAGAAACGACAATGACTATGGGAACGCTCAGACTTCCCGTGGTAGCTGGCGGAGTCACTAAGATCGTCGAATTCTGCGTCACGGATCACCCAGCAATCTACAATGTGATCATGGGAACTCCCTGGATCAACGGGATGCGGGCAGTACCCTCCACTTACCATCTCTGCCTCAAATTCCCAACTCCATCGGGCGTCAAAACGATCTGGGGGAATCAGAAGGAGTCACGAATGTGCTGCCTAGCCGAGCACAAACTGAGGAACCCCGTCACCGACGCACGAGCTGACATAGACCGCAAAAAGATGAAGACAGACAGAGAGTCCGTGAACGAGCTCTCCAAACTCTTATAGCAATTACAGATCGCGGAGAGCCGCGAAACACGCACCGAGCCGATATGTGACGCAGTGGACTCGGTGCGCATCCGGAACGGTGCGTCAAAATTGGAACACAACTAGGAGAGCCCCTGAGAAGCAAGCTCCTTTCCCTCCTCAAGGAAAACATCGATACCTTTGCCTGGACGGCGGAAGATATGCCAGGCATCAGCATCGATGTAACCTGTCACGAGCTGAATGTAGATCCGACCTTTAAACCAGTCAAGCAGAAATGAAGAAAGCTTGGTCCAGAACGAGCTAAAGCAGTCAACGACGAAGTCGAGAGATTACTCAAGGTAGGATCAATCGCCGAGGCCAAATATCCGGACTGGCTCGCGAATCCGGTGGTTGTAAAGAAGAAGAACGGAAAGTGGCGGTCTGTGTGGATTTCACCGATCTCAACAAGGCGTGCCCAAAAGACATCTTTCCCTTGCCACACATCGATCGGCTCGTCGAAGCCACTGCAGGAAATAAACTGTTAACATTTATGGATGCATTCTCCGGCTACAACCAGATTCTGATGCACCTTAACGAACGGTAAAAACAGCATTCATAACTGATCGCGGGATATATTGCTACAAGGTCATGCCGTTCGGACTCAAAAACGCAGGAGCAACATATCAACGGCTCGTCAACAAAATGTTTGCGGCTCAGCTCGGAAAAACTATGGAGGTATACATCGACGATATGTTAGTCAAGTCACTCGAGGAGGAAGACCACGTCGCGCACCTACAAGAATGTTTCGAACAGCTGAACAAGCACAACATGAAGCTAAATCCAGCGAAGTGCAGGTTCGCGGTCACCTCGTGAGAATTCCTCGGCTATCTGGTAACCCACCGGGGCATAGAAGCGAACCCCAAGCAGATTAAGGCGTTAATTGAGATGCCCTCTCCAAGGACGAAGCGCGAAGTGCAAAGGCTAACAGGAAGAGTTGCCGCGCTAAACAGGTTTATTTCCTGTTCCACGGACAAATGGCTGCCCTTCTACGACACCCTCAGAGGGAACAAGAAATTTGAATGAGACGAACGATGCGAGACGGCTTTCCAGGAATTGAAGACTTATCTGGCAAGCCCACCAATCTTAGCAAAACCGGTCGAAGGAGAGCCGCTCTTCCTCTACATCGCGGTGTCTGCTACAGCTGTAAGTGGGGTACTAATCAGAGAAGAACGATCCGAGCAAAAACCCATTTTCTACATCAGCCAGACGCTGACCGACGCCGAGACCCGCTACCCCCAGATCGAGAAGGTCGCCCTAGCCGTCGTAGTCTCGGCTCGCAAGCTGCGCCCATACTTTCAATCGCATTCGAGTGTTGTGTTCGCCACACTTCCGCTGCGCTCGATCCTGCACAGCCCAAGCCAATCCGGTCGGCTCGCCAAGTGGGCCATAGAGCTGAGCGAATACGACATCGAGTATCGAAATAGGTCGTCTGCAAAATCACAAGTGCTCGCTGATTTTCTCATTGAACTCCCGGCCGAAGCAACAAACGAGCCAACTCTAGACAAAGTATGGACATTGCACGTCGACAGCTCGTCATCTAGACACGGCTCGAGGATAGGAATCCGCCTCACCTCTCCCACCGGAGAACTGTTAGAGCAGTCTTTTCGCCTGAACTTCCACACCTCGAATAACGAAGCACTGATCGCTGGCATACGACTAGCGCAGGGAATCGGGGTTCGAAAGATAAGGACTTTTTGTGATTCACAGCTCGTAGCATGCCAGTTTAACGGAGAATATGAGGCAAAGGATGGACGAATGGGAGCTAACCTCAAGGTGGTTCGAGAGTTGGTGCAAAAATTTGACGAGTTCGACCTCACGCAAATTCCCCGAGGAGAAAACACCTCGGCTGACGCTTTGGCAGCACTCGCTTCAACCTCAGACCCAGATCTCCGACGGACGATCCCAGTCGAATTCATCGAACGTCCTAGTATCGAAGAAGTGGGAGGAGTTCGGCTGATAAATCCTCCTGAACAAGAACCAGAGGACGACGAAGCCATTCCAATGGAAGAAGACGCCTCACCAGCCGAGCCGGAATACGGCTGCGACAAAGAAAGGCTCGGAGCTATCCGAGTGTACATCGCCGATGGAGAGGTGCCAACTGACAAACGGGAAGCCCGCAAACTAAAAGCTCAGACCGCACGTTACGTCCTCGTCGATGGCGAGGTGTTTAAATGGAGATTCTCAGGGCCTTTCATGACATGCGTCGAAGGACCGGAGGCAAGAAAGATCATGCATGAGGTGCACAGCGGCGCGTGCGGGAACCACTCCAGCGGAAGGTCTCTCGCTATCAAGATAAAACGGCACGGCTACTTCTGGCCCACGATGATCAAGGACTGCGAGAAATTTACGGCTAAGTGCAAGAAGTGTCAGCGGCACGCCCCGACGATTCATCAACCTACCGAGCTGCTCTCATTGATTTCGTCGCCTTATCCGTTCATGAGATGGTCGATGGACATCGTCGGACCTCTACATCGCTCGAATCAGAAGCGTTTTCTGCTCGTCCTCACGGATTACTTCTCCAAATGGGTCGAAGCCGATTCCTATGCAAGCATAAAGGATGCTCAAGTCGAACACTTCGTCTGGAAAAATATCATCTGCCGACATGGGGTCCCCTACGAAATAGTCACGGACAACGGATCCCAGTTCATCTCAACACGCTTCGAAGCCTTCTGCGAGAAGTGGAAAATCCGCCTCAGCAAATCCACGCCAAGATACCCCCAAGGGAACGGACAAGTTGAAGCAGCCAACAAAACAATACTCGACGGTCTGAAAAAGAGGCTCGACGCCAAGAAGGGACGATGGGCGGACGAACTCGAAGGAGTCCTTTGGTCTCATCGGACAACTCCGCGCCGAGCCACCGGGGAAACTCCATTCGCTCTAGTCTACGGATCGGAGTGCGTAATTCCCCCCAAGGTGGATTTCCCAGGTATTCGACGAAGACTTCTACCAGGGCAAGAGGGTTTGAACCACTTAATGATGCTAGATGAGCTCGACCTAATAAACGAAAAGCGCGACCAAGCCCTAGTTCGAATCCAGAACTACCAACAAGCAACGGCGCGATACTACAACAAAAACGTTCGTAGTCGAAGATTCAAAGCAGGGGACCTCGTCCTCCGAAAGGTCTTCCAAAACACAGCCGAGAAGAACGCAGGAAAGCTCGGAGCAAATTGGGAAGGTCCTTACAAAGTCACAAAAGTGGTTTGTCCAGGAGTCTACGAACTCGCGACACTAGCTGACGAAGCGATTCCAAGATCATGGAACGCAATGCATCTAAAGAAGTATTATCACTAAAACCACAGCACGGCCAGCATGAACTACGGGACGGCTTGATCCCTGCAGAGGGTACGTAGGCAGCCCGTCTTCGGACGGGTTCAGCTGTCCCTCCTCCTAAAAAGGGGGGGGGGAGTGGGTACGTATACACATACCTCCTTTAACTCTATTATTTTGACTTGCCCATTTAGGAACGTCGCCACTTCGGCATATTCTCAGTTCGTTTTTAATCATCTACTTATTTCACTTTTACCCTTGATTTCTGGTTCGTTTATTATCGCTTCGGCTAGCTTCACATTGTAACAAGCTCGAATTTTTGAATTCTTTAACTCACCACTTCGGCATGATATCATGACCTGATTACCTTGGACCTTTAACGGTCCTCAATTTCAGTTCGGCAAACTAAGCCTTCGAACGCCTCGTCTCGTTGCTGGCCACAACGGGGCAACAAGTACAAAGTTCTCTAAACGGATTTTTACCACCTTTCCTAGGATGAGGGTGCAAGTTACATCCTCTACGGATAAAAATTAAAGCGCGCTATACAAATATCAGACCAAAAACGTATCAGGTCGCCACGGTTTACTATCGCACACGAGAATATAAGTCGAGACTACATCGTTTTCTCTAAAACCGATGTAAAACTCTTAAACCCGGATAAACATACTCGAGAACACCGGTCCTTAGACAGGTTTGATAACACTTCATCCTTGGCTAACAAAAGCAAAACGCCTCGTCGTTTTCACGACTCGGCACCACTCGAAACAAAACACCTCGTCGTTTTCACGGCTCAGCACCATTCAAAGCAAAACGCCTCGTCGTTTTCACGGCTCGGCAACACTCGATACAAAACGCCTCGTCGTTTTCACGGCTCGACACCATTCAAAACAAAAACGCCTCGTCGTTTACACGGCTCGGCAACATTCAAAGCGAAAACGCCTCGCCGTAAACACGGCTCGGCATTACCAGCAAAGACTTGCCTAAACATTATCGTGTAACGCTCTTTTACTATCAAAAATTCGTCTAGAACCTAAACGAGGTCCTTAAAACAATTCATCCCTTAGCCCATGTTCCTGTCAATTTCGAAAATACAGTAGAGGAAAAAATCAACATAACAGCCTTCGTCCTTGACAATTTTTCGTAGACATTTTTGCGAATTAATAGACAAGTAAGTCCGAAAACGGCTAAGGAAAATATATCCATTAAGCAAAAAATAAAGAGTCGGGTGGATAAAGCCGTCCAGGCACAAAACACATAAATGTTCAAAAGAGAGCGGATAAAATCCTAAGTACAAAAGCAAGCAAGAAAAATTTGTGAGGCAAAACTCATGCCGCGGACTGCGTTTCACGATCGGCGAGAAAGTTCGAGGGAATCGGCGTACCCGCGTTCGAGCCGTTCGGGTCCACAACGCCTAAATTGGCCGCTGTTTCTTCGATCGGCTCGTTGCCGAGGGTTGTGTCAACCGAGTCCGGCGATACGGGAGAGTAATACAGTTCGCCCCGAATCTCGGAAGCGATACGCTCGTACGCCTCGTCGTCGGCATACTCACTCTCCCAGCTTTTCAGCTTCGCCTCCTCGTCGTCAAGCGTCGGGGCGTCCGGCTTCTTCAGGTCGGCAATCATCGCGAGATTGCCCTTGATCTGTCCCAGATCGTTCTCATCATTTTTGGCCTTCTCGAGCTTGACCAAACCCTCCTCCACCTTAGCGAGGCGTTCCTGAAACTTCGCCGTCAGCTCGCGCCTCGCCTCCTTCTTCGCGCGTTTGACCTAGGCTTTGAACAGCGCGTCCTTGGCCTCGATGCGCCTCTTAAGCAATGCCACCTCGGCGCTTTTGGCTCTCCTTGCTTCCTCCAGGCGAATCACCGAGGCGGAAACTTTGTTGACGTCTGCTCGGAGAACTATCTTCTCCTCTTCCAACCTCGACACTCGGGTCATCGCCTCGGTGAGTTTCCCCTTTGCTGCCGCTGCTTCGTTTTGCGCCTCTTCCAGCTTGACCTTTGACGCCGCGGTCTCGTTTCGAGCCTCGTCCAAGCAACGCTCAACTTTAGAAAGGTTCGCCTCGTACTCGGCCATCAGGTCATTAATGGCCGTGAAAAACTGCAAAGAATAAACTCGCGTTAACACTTAGTAAAAATTTGCGAAAATAAAGGAAGGCAAATAAAACGCACCTTAGTACCGCGCTGTGCCATCGCGCCGTATGACCTCGGCCTCCTCAGCTTCTCTGGAGGGGGAAGGCGCGTGATCGCGTTATTAACGCGCGAGAACATGACAGCCGAGGCGTCAGGGTCGTCAACGACCAACTTACGCGCATCAGGGTCCCCTGGCGTCGGTTTTTGCCTTTTCTTCGCCGGCTAGTCCTTTTGAACAGCGACGCCTTTCCCTTTGTCGGCAGCCGAACGCTTTCGGCTCGGGTCATGCTTCTGGACGACCGAAGTCGGCGGCCTCGTTGACTTCGGGAGAGCCAGAATGGCGGAGTGCGAAGGTGTTTTGCTCCGCGCCGCCGAGCTGTCCCCTGACGCCTCGGGGATTATCTCGCCCGGTTCCACCTCGGGCGCTATCTCTTTTTCAACCGCCTCGGCAGCGTTGCCTTCTGCGGCGCGGATCATCACGTCCCCTTCCCGGCTCGGAGGGTCGGGTTGAAGGATGGCCTCGGTTTGCGCTGAGATCGCCTCGGCTTGTGCCGGAACCACCTTGGTTTGCGTGCGAGCCGCCTCGGCAGCTCGTCTAGCGGCTTCCTCTTCCTCGCGCCTCTTCCTTTCTCTAAGGGCGATTACCACCATTTTTTCCCAGGTATCTCTCGAAGAACTTGAGGACGAAGAACTGACAGAGACTCCGGCAAGGATGGCTCGCGCCTTTTCTACTCTTTCGAGGGGTGAAGTTTTTTCTCCAATTAACCTTCCGCGACGAAAGAGAGTCTCGAACAGTAAAGAGATCGTCGGGAATCGGGGGAAGATAGCACTGAACTGCAAAACAAAGCAAAAAGCAAAAGTCTCAGAAAAGGAAGAGAATATCAACTGAATCTCCGAGCCGAGGCAAAGCTTCGGGTCGGCTACCAAGTGGTCCCCAAGCTGTCTTGGTTCGGTGAACGTAATCTTTGCCGACCGACGCCTCGTTCACCAAGACGTAGAAGAAGCGTTCAGTCCAAAACTGATCTTTGCTGGGAAAACCGCCAATAATCTGTCGCTTCGCCTTGGGGACGGCTCGTCGAAACCGATGGCTCGCCATCCGGAGAGCCGACATCTGATGTGTTTTCATGGTTTGACGCTTCGTCAGATGAGTGATTGGAGGGGCTCATCGAAGCAGACGCCTCGGAGGATTCTGCCGTACCTCTCGCCTCGGCGTCTACGCGGCTTGGCTCGTAGTGAAAAAGTGAATCCAACGAATCGTCGGAACAGCTCGACATAATTTACGACTTTTACAAGAGTTACAGCGCGACTCGGCGAGCCTCTGCCGGAAAAAGATCTAGAACGGCAGAGACCTCGGAAACCCTAGTCGGAAAATAAATAAACTAGAGAGAGAAAGAAGAGAGAAAAGAGAGCTACCTTTAGTGAAAACGAGTGAGCCGGGAAATAATGAGGAAGAGTGAAGGAGCTCACCTATTTATAGAAAAACAAAGCGCGTGAATTCCGTGTAAACCCCGGGAAGCCGTCCAACAGCGCGTGGGATCCGCGGTGAATTGGCTATACCGGGCTGCGTCGTTGGCACGCGCCGAAAGATCAAGAATTTCCTCTCGAAAGACCAACAGTCAGGGTACCCAGGTTAACGAAACGGCTTGGTATTGACTTTTTCTCTCTTGAATCGCCTCGTCGTTAACGAAACGGCTCAGGGTTGAATCCATTCTCTCGAAACGCCTCGTCGTTAACGAAGCGGCTCGGTATTGACTCTTTCTCTCTTGAATCGCCTCGTCGTTAACGAAACGACTCGGCATTGAATCTGTTCTCTCGAAACGCCTCGTCGTTAACGAAACGGCTCGGCGTTGAATCTGTTTCTTGAAACGCCTCGTCGTTAACGAAACGGCTCGGCATTGAATATATTCTCCTTAATCGCCTCGTCGTTAACGAAACGGCTCGGCGTTGAATCTGTTTCTTGAGACGCCTTGCCGCTAACAAAACAGCTCGGCACGAGCTTTCTCTCGAAACGCTTCGCCATTTGTTCGGCTCGGCATAACCTCCTCAAATCACCTCGTCATGGGCTGTCACTATTTAAAAAAAATCGCCTCGTCCTTACTCTTGCCTCGGCATCTTTGGTACCATCTCGGCATCCTCGGCACTCCTTGGGAACGCCTCGGCGTCTTCATTCCCAAAACGCCTCGGCGCCTTCATCCCCAGAACGCCTCGGCATCTTCATTCCCAAAACGCCTTGGCGTCTAACTCAGTGGTTTATCCTAAGATCGGAAATAATGGACCTCGTCACTCTGGCCTCCGAAACTGATGAGTTGGGGGGCTAACTGTTGGGGTCGGTTTTCACCCCAAGTAGATAAACCACCTCAGAATGGCTAAGTATGGAAGAAAGATAAGTGGGAGAGCAGTGGTCGCCAAGTGGGAGACCCGTGCTGGCCAAGTGGGAGAGCCGTTCTCACCATGACAAGTGGAGATCCGTTCTCACCATGACAAGTGGAGAGCCGTTCTCACCATGACAAGTGGAGAGCCGTTCTCACCATGACAAGTGGAGAGCCGTTCTCACCAAGACGAATGGGGGAGCCGTGCAGATAGGCCAGTGGGGAGAGCCGTGAAAGAAGACAGGTGAACCGAGCCGCATCGAAAGAAATGGGCCGAGCCCCACTTCAACACGTTTGGGCCGAGCCGTGTATCGGTGCGGTGGGCTAGATCATGTCTCCATGGCAAGTGGGCCGAGCCTTGAAGGAGGCTAGATGGGCCGAGCCGTGAAGGAGGCTAGATGGGCCGAGCCGTAAAGAAGCATGGATGGGCTGAACCGAAGCCTTGAGAGGTGAAGCCCATGGAAAACCCTAGGCGAGATGCAAAGGCGGTCAGCCGCACGAGGCGATAAGGAAATATTTCGAAAATC